ATGAGTGTGGGGTAAAGGCGATACCTTAGATGACTCCCCAGTGACTGGATGGGCACCTGCAAGGGCATGTGGAATGTAGAAAGAACAGATTGAGGCAATGGGAAGATGATGAGCTCTGTGCTAGACATGCTGCATGTCAGTTACTCCTGGGATGCTCAAGTAGAGAAGCTTGGGAGACAGATATGTCTATCTGGAAATCAGGAAGGATTTGAGGCAGGCAGTAGATATTTTACAGTGCTTAAGATCACCCCTTGAGTCTTAAGAGCACACCTAGGATCAATTTTGATGTATCAGTTTCTAAGGCTACTGCAACAAAATACCATAAACTGAGTCACTTAAAGCAGAAACTTATTCTCTCACTATTTGGAGGGTAGAAATCCAAAGTCAAGGTGTCAGCAGGGTTAGTCCCTGCTGGAGGCTCTGAGGAAGAATCTCTTCCTTTCTTCTCACCTCGCTCCTAGTAGCTGCCAGCAGTCCTTGGTGTTCCTTGGTTTATAGGTGCGTAACTCCAATCTCTGCCTCCATATTCTCAGGGCCTTGTCTCCTGTGTCCCTGTGTGTCAAATCTTCCTCTCTCCTTTCTCTTATAAGAACACTGGTCATTGAATTTAAGGCCCACCCGAAATCTAGGGTGATCTCGTTTCAAGATCCTTCATTTAATTACATCTGCAAAGACTCTATTTCCAAATAAGGTCACATCCACAGATACCAGGGGTTAGGACATGGACCTATCTTTTTGAGGGATAAAGTTCAACCCATTACAAGTAGTTTCCTGTTTTTCCTTCTACCTCTCAACAGCTTCTTTCCTTGTGGAGCAGCCATTACTCACTCTTTCTGTTTAGATTTTATCCCCTCTCAGATTGGACTTTCCAGTTCGTCCCTTTTTTTGCCCCTGAAAATATATAAAAGGGACCTTTTTTAATTTTCAGAATTTTGTTGGTGATGGTTAAGAAGAAACAAGAAAACATAAAAAGTCAAATAGTGGTAAATTTAATAAGGTTACAGAATCTCACAAATTTCTTACATTAGTGATTCCTAACCTGCATTTCCCAAGTCTCATTTGAGGTGCTAACTGGAAGCCATATTGACCTTTGCCCTCTCATTTCCATCCAAGATTGAGGCTCACCAAACCTCTCCTAAACACATACCCTCCCTTCGGATCCTGTCTTTAGGTGCAAATGCTGCCTGAACAGATAACGAAGGCAGAATAAAATGTATCGAGTGATCATTTGGAGTCTTTTGGACTCTGATGGAATGACTCCCATTTCCTTGAACCTCTGTACCAGCAAGAAATGATATGCCCTCACAGATTTTATCATAACTGTCAAATCCTTGCAACAAGATTGCTGAGGGTGAGCATATAGGGAAAAATAAAGAGGAAAAAAAAGAAAGGAATTAACATTTTTACTGCCTCCTCAGGTACCAAGTGTTATCTACTCCTTCACATGTGTTATTTCATTTAATTCTTCCATCAACCATACATTCATTTTACAGTTGAGGGAAATGAAAGCTCAGTGAGATTAAGTATTACAATTTGTCAAATATCACACTTTCCAAGAAATAGAAACCCAGATCCTTCTGAACCCAATGCCCAAATTCCACCTATTTCACTATGCTATTTTGCAAGTAAAATGACAGTTACTGAATAACTTGGACCACTTGTCGTACTAAAGACTGTATTAACTCATTTCATTTTCGCAACATTTGTATATCTAATGAGTGTTATCCCCCATTTAACCATGAGATCCTTGAGACTTAGAAAAGTAAAATATGTATGATTTATATAGCTAGTAAGTGGTAAAGCTAGGATTTTAATTCAGACTTGTCCAACTCTAAAATACATACTTTTTATGAGTATTGAAACTTTGGACCAAAATCTAAAGAGCAGGTGAAGAAAAGATCCCAGGCCAGGGTATGAAGATGGCCGAGTCAGAGAGGAAAGGGATTCAGTACTATGATGAGAAACAAGGATGAAAAGAGTTTCAGTAATGAGGGGGTGGTCAGTGCTGTCATTCTGCAAGGAATGGAAAGTGTCCCTTGAATTCGGCAATTAAAAAAGCAAGAGAAGCAGACACAAAGTTGCAGTAGGAATGGGAGAGTGAGGAGGAATGGGAGAGTATGATAGGAATCTTTGAAAAGCTTGGCTTAGAAGCTAAAGAGAGAGACAGGATTGGAAAGAGAGGGCAGCACAATGTTGAGAGAGACTTTATTTGTTTGTTTTAGGAAGAGAACTTTGAGTACTTAGAGGTTGGGGTGGTAGAGATGGTAGAAAAAATCAGATAGATGATATAAATGTCGAAGAGAATAACCAATGGTCAGGTATAGAAATCTAGAACACAAGTTTAGGGGATTTGCCTTACAAGAAAGTAAGGTCACCATTTTCACTGAAACAGTAGGAGGCAATGGGCATAAATGGAAATATATTTGATGCTAGCGTCGGGTAGGAAGCAGGGGATGGAAGAGCAGGAAGGTGAGAATTCAGCTTTACTGGCCTTTCCAAAATCAGAAGCGAGCCCATTTGCCAAGAGAGAGGAAGCCAGCAAGGTTGGGAATTTGGTGACTGTGATGAGAAGAAAATGTAAAGAACCAGCAAAGGATCCTATTAAGATCCAACTTAGTCATATATAAACGCCATTCATGATTTAAGACAGAAGATACAAAAGTTAGAATTTCATACAGCATTTTAACTAAAGATCAAGTCTCTAAAAGCAGGAATGTTTATTTTAAAGTGAACACCTATTTCTACCTGCACATGAACACACACCTTAAGTTGGAAATAGCCATTACAGAACATATGTCTGTCAGTTATTCACCCCCATAATAATTTGCATCCCTTTTGCAGCTATATTAATCATTTTTCCTACACAATGTTATCTTGGCAGCACCTAAAAAGCATAAAGAATTCGTATTTTTATTTAACACCATGCGCCAAATGATTTCAAATATATTTGTGCTCTGAAGAGTCTAAATAGACTACAAAAACACATGATGTGCCAGGTTGTACGTAAACGGGTTAGAGGGTAGGAAAAGCAGGCTGCTTCTCATAAGATCTAAATAAACATACGCTGAGACCATCCCTGTCATGTAAGAGCTGCATTTCTTTCTAGAGTAGTAGTGTTCATGAACAGAGGAGTTCAAGAATAACGTATTAAGAAGGTTGTTTGGGAGAACCAAATCAGGATGTTCAGGATAATATAAGGTTAAAAACAACCATCTTCTATAGTAAATATTAACCCTGAAGGTTTGACCTAGGTCTAATTAGTTGTTTCCAATTCATATTTTATTTATAATGAGCAGAGATGTTTTCTTCTTTGAATAAGTTCCAATGAATTTAGCTCTGAAAAGCAAAATATACAGTAGTTCTCAAGGCTTCCCTTTCACCTACACTGAAACTTCTCTTTCTGCCTCAAGGAGATCAGAGGACGAGGTCTAGTGTGTGCATAGTAAGGGGGGGAAAGGCACGGATCATTTAGAAACCTTCCAGCACTGAAGCACTGCACTAATCTGACATCAGCTTCTTCAATAGAAATGTTAAGCAGCAAGAAAGTATTCTATGTTTTTTGGCAATCAGCAGATCAGATAGAAGAGTCTAGCAATACAACGAGGATGTGTAATCTGACATGATTAGACAAGGCTCTTTAGTACCAGAACATTCATAATTGAGACAAAGAAAGAGTATTAATAACACTTTCCTAACACGGCAGTTAGCCATTTTATATTTCCTTTCTTTAATCTTAGTGTTTTTCAACAAATCATGGGATTTAATAGCGTGTTTTGGCAGATTAGAGGATTTATGGCCCAGATGTTTTTTGTTCTAAAAATGGATTAGGGTGTAAAGTTTGCTGGAATCCATGAAACATGTTGAGGCAAGCCGGTCATTTTATGTGTGATTAGTGCCTGCCTTCTGTCTCACAGTCCCTCCATCTGTCACAATTCACCAATGGATCTGGTTAGATTTAGCCTCATGTCACAAACAAGTCCCTTTTCTGGGCAATTTCATATTATAGATTCAGTTTATGCCATTTTATGCCCTAGTTAAAAGATAGGGAGAGTGAAAGAAGAGATATTAGCTTTCCTTTCAGTATATGCCAAACAATCTTTTCTCGTTAGTTTTCTCTCCTAAGATCATGCAGATTATCATCGTAACGTGAGTCAAATAAATGACCAGTGTTCAAATTAAGTTAAAAGATAATTTTCTTACTTACACCTGTTATTCTTTAAAAGAAATATCTTGGCAATGCTTTTTTTCCTGACTCTGGATTGTGGAGCTGCAGACACAAGCTGGTCACTTGACCATCTTATTAAGAGTGTGAATTAAGTGTGACTACAGTTACCAGTAGCCACAATTTCTTATCAGACAATTACAGGTGCTTGGTTCCATTCTGTGCTTGAGGTTTAGCCCCTTAACTCTTGGCAAGTTTGTATCATTAGCAAACCACTGCCACCTGTGGTTTATTTCCCCATAAATGGATTCAGGAGGAAAATCATCTTCTTACAGTCAGTTAATAATGATTTATCCCTTCTGTTTATAACAAACGTAATAGTAGTTTTATACACAAACTCTAAATTGACCTTCCTAATGCTATGAGAGTGTCAATAATTATAGTGATAATTATCAATACCCTGTATCCTTTGGTAATATTCAAATGATCCTTACATTAAAAAAATCAAAGATAGGTTTTATGTTTTCACTACAAAATATTCAGATAACTAAAAAGAGTTTATTTAAAAATTATATTTTAAACTTCTTTCCAAACACGTGGAAACAACTACATTTCACTTACATATGATGTTTTTATTGTTTGGCGACATGCCCATGTATCACTATGTGATTCAGTCGTCAATTATTCATTCATTCATTCATTTTAGACAAATTCCATTGAGAAATTATTATATGCCACACACCAGTCATTACCTCAAAAAGAAATGATTTTTCTAGTTAAAGGTTAACCTATCCATGCATTTGTATAAAACGTATCCTTTGTTCTGGCACATCTTCAGGTTATTTAAATGACCATGATGCTGTCACCAAGGCAATCCAAGAAGCTCGGCAGATGAAGGAGCAGCTTCGGCGGGAACAGCAGGTGCTCGATGGGAAGGTGGCTGTTGTGAATAGTCTAGGTCTCAATAACTGCCGGACGGAAAAGGTGAGTTCATAAGCGAACTGACTTTCCCAAAACACTTAAACTGCAAGAATGCTTTTCTTCTTTATCTTTTCATCTTCTCATCCTCAGAATGATGGTTCTCTCTCCCTTTTTCTCTCTGTCAATACAGAAATCTCCATGCCCATCTTGATCAAAACCATCAGGAAATGGGCACAGTTAGAATTCTGTGTCCATCTCCAGACCTTATTGACAATAAATATCCCTTTTCTGCCATCAGTTTGCATTCAGATGAAATGGAGTTTGAAATATCTGAGTCTGGGTGAAAGTTTTGATTTGCAGAGATGCTTAACGTGTATTTGCGGATGAGCTGGATTTGAAAATGCTGAATCTTCCTTAATCAGCATAAGCTTGGATGATACCCATGCTCTAGTCTAAGTATCCACGATCCTGAGCTTGTCATAATATGTTTCTAATGCAAAGCAGTGTCAAGTTCGAGGTGACTGCACAGTTGGAAAATTTGACTTTATTATAAAATGAAATGTGCTTTTTAAAACTTGGGCATTGTTATTATACTTAAGCCCAGTGAAACTTCTGAATTTATCCAACGTATAATAATTTCAAACTCTTTTGTCTAAGCTAGATTGCATTTTATTCAGAAAAATATTATCAGTTATTATAGAATGCTCAGAGTGATATACTTCTTGTGGTAATATTTGATATGTTTTGAATTGAAAATTAGAAGTGTTACTGAATCCCCTTTCAACAATCCTATAGCTAAATAGATAGAATGAATAAAGAAAAAATCATCAGCTACTTAGCAATAACTTGAAAGTTAATCATCATGGGGAACTTATGAGTCAAACTGTATTGTCCAGAATGAGCAGATTGCTAATTTGGATAGCTTTCTGGTTTCCCAGGTTTTATATGGAAGTTGGTGTATAATCTCTAGGAAGCTAGCAATCTGCAGAGGGAAGGTGAAATATACGTGTGATCCTGTCACAACTGTACTTTTCTCTGGTCCAAACATGGGTCAAAAGGATGGAAAAACAATTTCGATTCTGTTCTGTTTCTGGAGGGGAGAGCAAAACATGGATCCGTATACATCCCTTGCAGTCATTCTCACAACGTAAGAAGACCAACATTGGTGTAGCAAGAAGGGCACACAATTTTTCTAGCTAAGCTCTAGAAGGGAAGGGGAAAAGCAAAGTGACAGCTCTAAGAAGGAATGATAACAAGCATAAAGAAATTTATATTCAGATATTTAAACATTCTTGAAAGGATGCTTGAACAGAAATTCCTTTTCTCTGCTCCCCATGTAGAAATGAGTTTAACACTCAGCCAGATGCTAATGCAAAGTGACTCAAGCTATTCCTCGCAAGCATAGCTAAATTGCCGTTATTTGTTAAGCGCATTGAATTCAGCTGTGGATACAGCAGTTGGTTGCATTCAGCAAGCATCTGTACCCTTTTTTTTCCTAATCCTCCAAAGCAGAGACAACTCTACCTATCTCCCCCCCTCTCCTCCCCTGTGCTGGCTGGGAATTGTCAAGTGACAACCGACCAAATCCTTTTGGACAGGAAGCCTTCATCGTGAGTTCTATATACTTGCAAAACAGGCCTTGTGGTTGGATCAGGGAGCCCATTAAAAGCACTTTGATGGTATGGAAATTCATCTTCATGAAGCTCCTAGGCCCCTAAGCAGCATGCCGTTTAGCTGTGGTTACAGATCAGTCATTCACATCGGAGGGCAATAATTGTGCTGACGGCTTGTAAGGCAGTGGAAGTACATAAAATAATCCTGGGCCCTCCACCATGGCACTGCAAGTTAATCTTCTCTAATACAGATCAGCTGTTGTTCTAACACATGACTTTATGCTGGCTCCAGTGACTCTGCTCAGCCTTTTGATTAAGTAACAGGAGTGAAACCATCTGCATTCACTTTATTCCATAGTTGTCCATTGTTAGGGGACTGTATTTCCACTTCTTGTTCCACCTCCACAATCATACTTTCTCTGATTAGCACCTTCTATTCGAGGGGCAGGAGGGAGAGTTGCTTCTGTGTAAAGCTACTGCTTTCATTTTGCTTTCTCTTTTGCAGAATTATAATAACTTAAAAAAATATATTTTTGAAGTAATACCTGCCAAAATCTGCTGTCCAGTTCAGTTCTGTCCATGCTCAAGAAGGTTATCATTGCCAAATCTCTTCATCCGGTACTTTCAATGTAGTTGAGTTACATCTTCACGTATATGCTTATTTTTATGGGTTTTAAGTGAAAATTTTAAAATAGGAAAGTGAAGCAGTTCCATTATTGTAATGGTAGGGCAACTTCTTGTCACGTGTAAGTAAACCTTTTCAGCAGAACGACCCGATTAGTTCATCCCTTGTGTTACCCTTGACACTGGGAATGAAGCTGAGATTATTGAAGCTCTCTTTGAAGCCGGTACTACTGTGGACACCTTTTCCTGTTGAACTACCTTGGGTGTCATTTCTACAATATTAATCATTGATCTATGTCTCTGTAACTCATGAGAATGACATAATGTCAAATTTATATCTTTTCATTTGTAATTATTCAACATTAGCACCTGTATGTATTAGGGATGGTGCTGTGTACTCAAGGTACTGTATTGAACAAGAAAATATGTCCTCTGCCTTTATAGAGTTTACAGTTTAGACCAAGTTATTATTTTGACTGTTAATCATGGCATATTTATACATTTGAGCCTACCAATAGGAGTTGAATAAAGACTCCATATTGCTCAGTATATCAGATCTGTTATACACCTGAGTTGACAAAAGCGGATGCTTGTTCTTCCACATAAAGTGGCATCACTATGTGTATTGTGCTGTTATTTTCCTAATACCTCCCTTTTTAATAGATTTTTTATAATCACCCAACTTTGTCCATGGCCAAAGCATAGGTAGATCAGTAGTTGGTTTGACATTTTGCTTCATAATTCTTAATAAAAGATATAAACAGAATATATGATAAAATTCCTCTTATAGTTTGCACTGTCATTTTCTCATATTATTTGAATCCCAAAAGAAGGACTTTTTTTCTCTCTAAAACAATACTTCCAACTTCCTAAACCCAGAAAGTAAGTGAAATGTAAGGAGTAGGGGAGATAAACGAGAGGGAAACATGGAAAGGAGCTGGGGGAAAGGAAAGAGGGAAAGAAAAGAAATTCACCCTGGTGCTTTGCATCCATCTCCAAGGTGATAGCATGACCTGAGACTCAGGACAATTGGAGTCCTGTGACGGAGATCTGTTTCCTTGAGTACACAAACCTTATACATGTTAACTTTTCTTCACATTTTGAATGACCAACATAGTTGTCCCAACTAGAAGGTCTTAATTCTGAAAAGCTGTAATTGGACAGTGAAAACAATTAGAAGTGTGAAGACAGGGACAAATGTTTTCCAGTAATATATACAAAAACACATAATGAAAGTCATTTTTACTGAAACACATTTTAATTGAAGACTTCTAAAAGATTTTTCATTTCTTTACTTTTCTTGGAAGTGTTTCAACATACCCAAGAATTGTGTATGTCAGGTTTCTTGGAAACTCTGGGACACAGTGTTATTTATAATTGTCATCTCTGGTTAATTATAGTCTGATTGTATATTCAAATAATGTTATCTTTTGCCACACAGCTCTGTTACAGATTAGTGTTATGGGCGAATAAGTAAGCTTCTCAGGTAGGAAGAATCAGAACGAAGACCTTCAGACAATTGTTTAGTAAAAAACACTGGCTTTGCTTCATTAACACCCAAATGGCACAGTTTGACCGTTCAATCAACTGCATACTCAAGTTCTGACCTTGTATTTGGAGGTATCCATACCCACCAGGAGACCATAAAAACCTCAGTTTTTGTCCTCACCCCACCAGGCAATACTAATGTCATAGGGACTCAATGCTTTTGACCGAAATGAGGAATAGACCAGAAGTTTCTCTGCTTATTTCCTTCCCTCCCAATGTAGTTATCCTAAGAAGATGATGTCTATGCTGTACTATCTGTTAGAGATGTATTTCCTTATGGATATCAGGAAATCTGAATACAGTAGTTTCAACAAATAATGAATAATTTTTAGCACATAATGAAGTTCAGGAGTAGGAGGTTGGTGGCATTAGTCCATCATCTGGTGATGTCAGTGGCTGAAATCTCTGTGATTCTCTTGGATTTTCCCCTAGGGTCACAAAGTGTTGCTGTATCTACCACTCTCCCCTGAAGGCAGGCAGACTCAGGAGGAAGAAGTTGTTCTCTCTTTGCTAAGTTCAGTCTCATTTGCATAGGGATGCTTTTCATTCCTCCTTCATTCACATAGGCATGTTTTACTGCACCCCTCAAACTGACTTCCACAAACAGCTCATTTGGGTGGAGCTGGGTCATATGGACACCTTTCAAACCAGGGAAGAGAAACTGATTTAAATCGATCATGAATTATTTTCTGGGACTAAATTAGAGACCTTATCCCATCCTCCCTGAGATCAAAGGATATCTTTTTGTTTTTTTAAGAGAGGCAGACTGCCACATGCAGCGCCTCATTTGGATGTGTCTGGAGTCTTGGACGCTTGACTACCCTATGTTCTCCTACAAATGGACCTTGAGAGCTTATTTGGAGGTCCTGGAAGGGTAGCACGGCTACTCATATACCCTTGACCAAAGAATGATCCTCCTCTATCAGGGAAGGGTGTCCTCTTGACAGAGCACAGCTTCAGGAGGGTTGCACGTGGAGCAGTGAGGGAGGAAGGGGAGACCCGCCTAGCCAGCCAGATCAGCCAAATCGACCCTGGCGATCAATGGGGTGACATGTCGTAGCCAGATCACCCTCACATCCAAGGGATATCTTAAAATCAAAGATTACATCGACAGAGAAGAAAAGACAGACCAGAATGGCTATTGGATAGGAAAAGGCCCTTGTCATCCACAGCTACATTATAAAAATGATATCAAAACTCAAATACTTCCTTCATAAAACTGGTTTGTTTTGATTATTTTTATATTTGTTGTCATCTGTCTAAGTACTTTTGCTCTTC